TGTTACCGACATCTGATGAAAATTTCATGTCATTAGCACCTCTAGTAATATATTTACTGAGAAAAATGGTGACGTGTTCAATACTTATTTCACCCGCTGTAATATTACTGCATTTATTCCGTCACATGGTGCATTAAATGTATTTCACATTAAGGCACACATGTGTCCAGCAGAGGTTAGACACGCTCTCTCACCCGTCATGTTGGGGGTGGAGCGGTAAAGTGGCTTGTTTCTTTGCTTCATCTGCTCTCTGTGTCTGCTGCCTCTGAGGAGACTCTCTGAGGAGAAGAAACTAYAAGTTTGAACTGGACCGATGGGAAACAGACATTATGTTTGATTAGGTTCTGACCGGTGGTGGGTGGTCCGTTCAACAGCTCCCTGACACCATGATAGCTCGCTCCAAACTTTGCCACCTGTAAGGTCACAACAGGACCAGTCTGCACCATGATGGCTGCTGCCCTAAAATATAAAACCAAARCATGTAAAAATGCAGCTGCAGTTAATAATCTGCAGGAAAATAAACATGGAAGAGATTCTTTAAATTTGGATACAGCGTTCTCTGATAAACGCTCTCTGTGTCTTTAGTCGTCACCTTTCTTGGCTGAGTCCAAGCAGACTTTGACCGTCCACACTGATCAACTGATCTCCTGCTGTTAACCTCCCACTCTGTGAAAACAAAAGTTCAACTTATTTAAATCAGAAAATCTAATCAAACCATCAAAGCTTCATGATCTCACCATGTCAGCTGGTCCTCCCCTGACAACAGATTTAATATAGATCCCAACTGTGTCCTGACCTGCTCCCTGTGCAGAACAACACAAACWCTGTTCATTAACCTCTTTACTTCTAAAACTTTATTTCCATACTCAGTCCTAATTACCTGATTATTCACAAAACGTTACTCCAGTTATTTATTATTTGTATCACTAACTTTTACAGCCTTTTGCTGCTCACAGACCTGTTTTWTGTAGATGTGTTGCTGCCATAAAACTCCAAATTACTTTATTTCTTCCTAAATAAAGGTAGAGTTTCTTAGTTTAAACATTTGATGAGCTTACTGTGTTTCATTGTAAATAAAAGACATGAAAACATGAGCATCTTTTCTTCCTTCATCCAGTTTGTTTTCATGGTTATTAAACTGAATTCCTCCAACTTTCATAGACTTTCATTACATTTTAGCTCAAAATTGTGTCTTGAAAACCAGAATGTGAGGTTTTTAACTTAATAAAAATTCATCAAATTTAATCTCCTACATGAAACTGAAACACTGACGTTTGACTACCAGTCTTCTGCTGCTCAGTTTAATTTATTAAAGATCTGACAGCTTTAACATTTATTTTAGACCGTGGTTTTACAGTTCATAAATAAAATTATAGTTTTGTTCTGAGCTTCGGTTAATACAAACCTGAAAAGTTCTTGTTCTTAGATCTGTTGTGAGTTTTCATACTCAAATACAGAGGTTCTTAACCTTTTTGACCTCGGGGCCCAATTTACTGAACATAAAGTGACACGAGGTCCAGTCAGACATTACTAATGTATGGATCAAAAATGATAATTATTATAAATCTTGGTTTAATTTTATTGTATTTACATTATAACTAAATTAAACACTTACAGTTTATAAGTAAAACTCCTGTTAAATAATCACAAGACATGATTTATAACAAACATTTTTATATTGTAATCTGCCCATAACAATTATTTGAACAAATACAAAGGTCAGTCAACAGACCACTCAGGCTTATCAGCACAAATATATATTTTTTTTAATATAAATGATAACAATAGAC